ACAACCGATCATGTCATATTTGAAGTATGACTTTAATTACATTATGGTTTTCAAATATAATAAATATTTAATGCTATTATAGATATATAATTATAATTTATCATTTATAAAAGTGCATAATAGTTGAACTAATAAATGTGTATATCATATGGTAACACATATTACTAATAAAAATTATTCAAAATTGTTAATGATGTATTTATTTTTACTTAAATGCCATCTTGTACAGTAGCAAATAAGTTTTACTTCAATCGCGTGTGAACCTTAAGCGCACTCTTTTTTAGTATGTTTCATTAAAATGACTTTTTAATAAACCTTGAACAACCTTCACATAAATTTATTATGTATTATATAATTATACTTTTGAAACTTACTTCTTGGGCAACTTCTTGCACAACTTCCTTCTTTGGGGCTTCTGTCATTTGCTCCACTTCTGCGACCTTAACCCTGGTTGCAACGACGGGAGCGGCCTGGACAGTTTTGGTGACGTACGCAACAGGTTGGACAGTTTTTGTGAATGTAAATCCAGCATGAGCAGCTGGTACGGTTTCGACAACGGACACTTGCTTAGCTGGAACAACTTTTTCTACAGGAGCTGTAGTTTCTACAGTGTTCACTATTTCTACATTCTTGTTTATGGCATTTGTTACTACTGGTGTAGGCTGTTCGACCTGCAAATTAGTAGGAATGATTAAAAGATGGATTACATTGAATATGGCATACTGGGTTTAGATTTGTTATATGTTAAGCTTAATTTCTAAAATTTAAAATAATAAGGATTATAACATATAACATATAAAAAATCTGGCAGAATTTCTGAAAATTAAATTCCACAAAAAACATTACATTTTGCTATAGGGTTCGTTATAACTAAACTTAACTCGTTACAAAATACATAGCAGTTTTTTATCCGTCTAATGTTCACTAATTATTATTGTTTACTAATTTATTATAATGTTATATAACTTATTTTATTTATTATTAAGCATTAGTAAAAGCAATAGCAGTTGCTTTCCAAACTAGTTGGTATTGGTATTTTGCCTTGAGGCAAGTTACATGAACTTCCCGATATGGGTAATTAATCGACTTAATCAATAAAAAATAAATTAATTTATGAGTGATTGAAAGTATTCCGATTGGATTCATTACACATAATTGAAAACGAACGAACATGTTAACTAGGAGTATTTTCTAAAAGTAAATTTTCAAAAATCAACAATTTTTATAATTGAACCAATTTCCGTAGGACTTCAATGGTTTAGTATGCTCATTAAGACCAACTACTTTATCGTTATACCAAGTAAATCATCAATTTTTAATTTTAACAGACGTCAAAAAAACTACAAATTTTCTCAAACTTTGATTATTTTTAAAATTAAACTACTTGTCGTAAGACCGTAATGTTTCACTAAGTTCTATAGGACCATGATATATATCGCCAAAAAAAGTTCCATAAAAATCGGCTTAAATTTTTTTTTCAACAGTTTTATATAAAGACGACTCGGTAGATTTTCACCTAAAACTAATCAGTATCATTCCCAACTAATATCTTTCGAACAGTTTTTGATTTTTTAAAATCGGTTCGGTAGGATGAGCTTAAATGTGGATGAAAAGTTTAACACTTTTTTTTTCAAATTACAAAGAAACGTCTCGGAAGATCGTCGCACAAAAGTGACAAACGATGATCCTCATTGAGATACATCAAATGACTTTTAAATTTCTGAAATCGGTTCAGGCGTTATTGAGCAAACGACGATGGAAGGTTTAATTTTGACAAATGCCAAAAAAACGATACTAATTTTTGCAAACTTTGAGGAATTTTTTAAATTAAACGTGGGGTAGTAATATTTTAGTATTATCGGTATCTACCGTCAAAAAAAAATCATGAAAATCGTTGAAAACAATTTTTTTAACACTTTATTACAAGAAAATGGCCCAGCCGATCTTTACCAAAAACTAATAAGCACGATTCCCAACCAATATCTTTCGAACAGTTTTTGAATTTTCAAAATAGATTCAGAATTACGGGCTGAAACGTGGACGAAAAATTTTTCACTTTTCTGCGATTTACAAAGAAATGGCTTGGCTGATCGTTGCGCAAAATTGATAAACGCTAGACCTCATCGCGATACATCGAATGGCTATTAAATTTTTCTAAATCGGTCCAGTCGCTTTTGAGAAAACGTCGATTTACGGTAAAAAATTTGTTCACATACACAAACACATACTTTTTTCAAATTTGGTCTCATTCGATTCAGAATGGCTTGAAACGTCGAGAAAACATAAAATTAGCGAATCGGATTTTTTTTATAAAATTATAAACTTCTCCTTCGGGAAGTTAATGACTTGAAAAGTGAATATGTATATTTTTGTATTCTCAAAACATTAACTGGTAATCTAAAAATATAAAAAAGTATTGTAAAAATATTGTCTGCATATCGTATATATAACTCACACAAAAATTGCATAAATCGCGTAAAATTGACGCGTCTAGGCTAGAATACCTCTTTTAAAAAAATTAAATCATAAATTATTATAACAATTTCTTACCTCAACTGTTTTAACAACACCTACACCTACGCCTTTAGCTCCGGCAACAGAAACGCCGTAACTACCTTCAGCTGAGGTGCTGCCGGCGAGTTCGGCGCCCGCTGAGTGCCCGAACCCGGATGCGGCTCCGGCGTATAGCCCGCCCGAAGTTCGGCCTAAAAAAATCTCACAATTAACTTGGATATAAATTTATATATAACATATAAAATAAAACTAGCTGTAAGTGGAATTCTGTCTTAAGGCAATTAAGGCATCGTGCCTTAAGGCAAATTGCTGGAACTTCCCGTACCAAAAATTATTTTTTTAAAAACGATTAGCATTTTTGAAAAAAATAAGATTTTTGACAAACAATTAGACAAAAAATTACTTTTTTTGAAAAAAAAATTTTTTTTAATTTTTTTTTTATTTTTTTTTTTTTGAAAAAAAAAATGTTTTCTTTATTTTGACATATTTGAAAGATCTAAACTTTTTTTCAAGCAATCGTACTGCTTTAACTGCATAAAGACAAAATATCAAACCGCGTAAGCTCCGCGTCGACGTCTAACGCGTAAACATTGGTACGGAACCATAGGAATGTAAACCAAAATTATACTTATTGTTAAAATCTCTATAAAATATCTGATAATTTGATGTGCATATGTCTAATGATCATTTTTGACCGCCAAATGGCATTTTTTTTTACTTTTTCATTAGATCTCCGAACCGCTAGACCTGCCTTTATAAAAATTTGATCGGTATTTCACCTTGTCAATACAAGTAAAACGTTGTTTGAATTATTAAAATCGGACGCTCCGTTCTCTTAAAAACTGAGTTACCGTTTTCGGCACTTTTTGCCCCGTATCTTCGGAACGGCTAGACCTGACTTCGCCAAAAACTAATCAGCACGTCTCCTTATCAATACGAATCGAATGTTTTTTGAATTAATCAAATCGGTTGATCGGTGTTCCCGAAATCGTCGACGAAAATTTGTATCCGCACATACATACACACACGCACACACACACACGCACACACACACACACACACACACACACACATACATCCATTTTTTCTAAGGTATGCCAAAATATTCAGAAACCTTTGAAACGTCGAGAAATGCAAAAATTTTCATTTTCGATTTTTTTGCGATTACTATAACTTACCCTACGGGAAGTTAATAAACTGCTAAACATATGTACATTGATAAAGTACCCAGAGTTAATAGGTAGAATACAAATCAGAAAACTGCAGACAATGAATTTAAAAAAGATGAAAATAGATACAACCCTAGTACAAACAAATACACGTGTCTAGGTGGTTTACTGATTGTTCCACGCAAATTCCTGCCTAGTGAAATTATTTCAGTGGTATTAAATGATTGCTTGTTAATGCATAATACTATATTTATATATCATACAAGATACTAAATTAAGAGAATTTGGTTTTTTAAGGGAAAGTTTAGACTTTAAAAGAATCGATTTTTTTTAATTTTCAAAGTTTGTAACTATTTTAAATTATTTTCGGAGATATAGCTGTTTGACCACGATAATCCTTCTATCTTTCCTTGCTTTGCAAAACTTTAAAATCGTTTTTATCAAAACTGCCTTTTTCGATACGATTTCATAATTTCTACTGGACCGATTTTCTTGAAATTATTAAAGTGTCAGTATAGACTATGTTCATCCCTAAATTTCCATTTTCACTGTTATCAAATTCTATATAAAGTTTTCCAAACATTTCATCGACTAGTTTTATATCTATGCTTGAATGTAAAATATCATAATAAAAGCAACTAACATTGAACCAATAATTTGCGACATGCTAAATTTTACATTATTACTTCTTCTGAAGAGTTCCGGAAAAATATTATTTACCAAATACCATTATTAATCGATCATAAATATATCAATCCAACACGAGGAAGATGTAAAATGTAGACCTTCAAAAATTATTCTATTTTTTGTTCGCACGTTTTAACCTTCTGGATATTCCGCAATGGAATATTCTTATTGAATTAATTACATATCAGTAAGATTTCTAAAAACAAATCGTATCTTACATGATGATGATTTTCAACGCAACAATTATTTAAATTGGATCAACTTTACAAAAAGACCAAACTCAACAACAACATTTTTTGCAGCTATAAAGAAATAATTATCTTATCAATAGTAGTGAGTCAATATAAGTATTGACTAAATCCGGAAACAATTTTCAATTACAAAGTGCAATTGTGAATTAATCAGGTCTTGAGTCCAGACTCTTGATTAATAATTTATTGTATTACGAGCAAAAATTAGCTCTTATTCAAAATTCTGGGTAATTAAAGAGACGTACTTGCTCTTATTCAAAATTCTGGGTAATTATTATTATAGTTTTAACTTTAGCTTTGTTTGAAGATGGTAATATTTAATTTTCTAGAACTATAATTCTGGGCAAATATAATACTTTGTGTATAAAATGTAAATTACATTGTTATTAATTGGATCCTTGGCTTAAATTTTGATAGAAGATTAATGCAGTAATATAAGCAGTAACTATGATAAAAATTAATGCAGAAATAATTATAGTCGTGATAAAAATAATCTAAGTTGTTTATGAGATGAGTATGACGGGCATCTTGATAATACTTTGAATAATGATTACATCAGTAATACTTATTGGAACTTTGCATCTGATGCATATACGATGACAAATGCAATTAAGCGTAAAATTAAAAAAAATGTAGATTCAATCATGAATACATAGAAAATTGAACATTGTTGGTTTATTACCCAGACATTTTTGTATGCAATGATCAATATTTATAATTTATTTATCAGTATGTTGCCAAAATTTTCGATTACAAATGACGTTTTTTTGTATGCAGTTTAAATTAATTTTTTTCATTTTAACGATAAATTTTTCTGAAGTTGCTACATACGCAGAGCAAACTTAAGAGTAATATGTATATTAAGAATTTTTAAAAATATTAAAATGCAACATAAATTTTGAAGGTGAATTAATCATTAAAATATAGATTCAACATATATTGTAATTGATACATTCAAACAAGCGCAAATATAATGGAAAAGAATTTTTCATTTGATACAAAGCGTTATTTTTTAAACACCTATAAATTTAACACTGTTGACGATGATAATATAAAAAAAATATTTGGCCATTCAAAGAAGGATGCATTTTTATTTAGAATTTCAAAAACTTTTAAAAAAACTTAGAAAACCTATAACTATTCGTTCAATCTAAAAAATCTAATTTTTTATTCACATGTGACAATAATTCTGAAAACCTTTGCTAAGCGTTCTCGAAACAAAAAGATCACAGTGGTGTTGTCTAATTAGTGAAATTATGAATTAATATTCAAGCAACCCTCATAAGAAACAAATTCAATTAAAAAAATCAGTGTTATTTTAATCTTTATGCGAAAAAAAGATGAAAACTTCTACAATGCAATCAAGAAATGCAAATTATTTGCTCATTAGTCTTGCAATTAGCGCAAGGATAGTAAATCTTCAACCTAAGTTATTAGTGAAGATGCATCAGGATTTTTTTATGAATGTATATCTATATATATATATATATATATATATATATATATATATATATATAATATGATATGATACACATATATTTGTTAGTATAAGTTAATATGTTTTAAATAATGTAAGTCATGCTCTCAACTGAGTCATAATGATTTTTTTGAAAAATGCTATTATACGTATAATTTATCACTAATTATTATAGTAATTACTAAAGTCCAAAGTCCAATTTAAAACAAAATGATCAAGTACAATGTGCTCTACACTATTAGCAAAAAAGATAATTATAAATATTCTAGTATTACATCAGGAAAAAACAAATAATTCATCTGAAATTTATAGAAAAAAATATAATTATATGTGTAGTTTTCTTAGAAGAAATATTTCAGATAAAAACAGAAATACTTTTAAAATCATTTATTATTATTAAATTAATTTATACAAAGCACATTGTACTTAGTGATCATATAACTAAGTGCGAAAGGTGCAAAAATAGATTAAAACTTAATTAATTAAAAAATACTGCGTGTATATTGTGCTAAAAATATATAGTATAATATATATAATATATTTCTTATCAAAAAATAAAATAATATTTGGAAAAATAGAGAGTTATGATACATTACTAGATCAGTCAAACGAGCTCAACGCGTTCAAAATGTGTAAAACTTTTTACATATTTTTTAATTTAGTTTCTGGTGATTATTATTCAAGACGAATATTTTACAAAATACAGTTAATCCTTAATAAAAAAATAGTTTGATATAAATTGTGTCAGCATGGAATAATTTACAATAAAATTAGCAACTATTAAAATATTCAAATAAGAAGAAAATTTAAAATTCATCTGTAACAGTACAGTATATGACCTGATCAAGAATGATATGAAATAAGTTTAGAATTTAATAAAATATTCACAAAAGTTAGATAAATTGAAACCTGTTCTAAACGCCTTATACCCTCATACATTGCAGACTTATAATCATAATTAATTTGCAATGATTTGCGATCTTAAAATTGTTAATTTACATATTAAGATTAGCAAAAAAAAACGGATTTTTATGATAAATTATAAATATTTTCGATAAAAATTAATGGATTTAGATATTCTTTGGCGACATTATTTTGAATTATTTGGTATACAGTTGCATCGTGGGACTTTTCTTTGGTACTCCATGTGTCATAATTCTATTATTCAATATGTGCAAATTACGTTCTAATATAAATCGTGACAATATCATAATATATTTATCGTGGAAATAATATAGCAATTGCAAGCTAACTAATGTTTCCTAGCGTAGGAGTATTTGTAACCGCGCGGTATAGCGTTTCCACTTGGGCCATCATCGGCTGCCAAATCCCCTCCAAGACCTGCTCCGGCCCTGCCCCATGGAGATCGTGCTTCGGCGTACATAGCGCCTGCAGGTACATTATTTTTGGAAAATTAAAAAATTAATATACAAAGGACAACAAACCAACTTTAGATTGTACGAGCTGTTAAACCTATCTATAGATAGAAATATTATTATTACTTTTTAATCTTTATCAGCAATTAAAACGATGCACTCTATAAGCTGTTCCGATGTATCCACATTACTTAACTTACAATTAGTGTAAGGTTGTTCGGAAAGTCACTTCAGAATTTAACTATATATTTTTTTAATCTAGCATAACACTTAAACAATATAATTATTATATGATTTAAAAACTTATATTTTAAGGTTTGTGTGTAAAAAATTCTAATCGATTACATGCAGTAGTTTTTGGATGGTGCCACTTTAAATTAGGCAGCGTTTTCGACATATTTTACTCTTTTGCTATGAAAAAGATAAAAAAACTGTCTAAGTCAAAATGAAATTGATCGATGTGTACGGATGACGTGTTGATAGTACAATAGTGCCAAGATTGGTTTGCAAAAAAAATTATGGTTTCGGCGGAAAATGAGGAAAACTAGAATTTTGCACCTTTGACCTTGAATAAAAAAAATCGCAGATGTCGGATCGATGGGGACTTTTGACATTTCATTTGTAATGGCCTATTTAACATCTGCACCAAATTTCAGCTCTATGCGAATTATTCCTAACTGACGGCTTTTTTAGCTTTAATTTGACTGGGTTAGTTGATGCAAATTAGGATTAGATTATGCAAATTGACGAATAATAATACATGAGATCTCATTGAGTAAAAATTTAACAGATCATGACCACTCAAAAGTTCTGGGATTTTCCTCGGAATTCAATGTATGATACTCCGAGCAATAGAAAATTAAAGCGTATTCAGAAAACAAAACCAATTGAAAATGAAATATTCAATAAAAATAAAGCGCTTCTTTATAAGCCGTAATGAATACAATAAAACTGAACTATATTCTATATAAATTTTATATAAATTAAAAGAATATGAACTAATATTAATATTGAATAGAAATGTTATCTGTCAGTTTAGAAGTCCAAGCCAAGCCGGCAGCTACTTGATTGGGTCTGGAAACATCAGCGTGGTCGGGTTGTAATGTTGAGAATAAATTCGAACACACTTATAGCAATAAGTAGAAAAAAATACCTGGTCGACTTGACACACAATGGGATGTAAACAACTGATAACACTGAATTAAACGAACTACTGAACTAACAATGTAATTGCAACTGAATAGAACTGAATGCAACAACGGATTGAATTGAATCGAACTAGAAGAGAGCTACTATTGCCTGCATCGGCCCTTTTTATTGGCCCGATTTCAGAAGTTTGAAAATTGTTGTCCGAGTAGAAAACCAAACCTTTTGCAGATCCGACAACCTACGCAGATGCGGCGCAAACAAATACAATTTCAGTATTTCAAATAGTAATGTGAATATATATTGCAACAAATGTCTAAAGGATTATTTTTACTTGATATCACTAGGGATGTATTCTCATCAGTACTGCTCGATGTCAATCTGGCCAAGGCGGGTATCATACCCAAAACTAGTGGTAGTTCTTATAACGCTAACAATTTTCCATAATATGTAATAATATAAAGCATAGTAAGTAAGTAACATCTTACAATTACTCGCAAACTGTTGAAATAATAATTACAAAACTAATGCGACTCATTTTTTATTAAATTTATTTATTTAATAGTTAGATTTTATTAGTTAGAAATGTTATTATTACTTTTTTAATATTTGAAGAGCAATAAAAACTATGTACTCTATAAGATGAACCCACATTATTCCTTAACTTAGTGTTTTCTATTAAATATCTTCTGATTGACTATTATTTCTTTTGTCTGAAAGATTATTTTAAATCTTTTTTTTTAATTACTATCTGTCACACTTTAGGACATTGAGTAATTATTTTGACTTATTCTTATTATATGAATCTTGAATGGATGGCAAACCAGTAGTTGTCCAGTCCAGTTATGACTAATTATTATCTATACTCGAAGTATGTGCTGACATTTTTATTATATGTGCAACTATGCTCACGACAGGCGATTTTCACTTGAGGCTTTATTTGAAATCTATGACCTCACCGCCAGTGGCCAATTTTAAATTAATATAATATTAGAGATCTATTTACATCACTTCTGCGTGATGTCAAGCTGACCAAGGCGGGCATCGAACCCAGAACCTGTCGTTGTTGATGTATGATCTTACCATACCAGTAAAGTACGGCTAGCACATGTATAGAAATAACGACGCTAAGAATTTTTCGTTAATACGTAATAATATACTACAAATTAAGTGAGTAACATCTTACAATTAGTTGCAAACTGTTAATATAATAATTATGTACTAAAATAACAAATGTTGCGACTCATGAGTTATGACACTTATTTATTTAATTGTTAGATTTCATTAGATAGATTATTAGATAGGACATTCACAATTACCCTGAGATCATTATTTTTTTGCCTTAGTATTATTACCTTGTCCACTGGCATCCCCTCCGAGTCCTGCACCAGCTCGTGCTCCCCACGGTGTGCCTGCTTCAGCCTGAAGACCGCCGTGGGCTGAATCTCCGGTCAACAAACCGCCCAGACCGGCGGACGCGTGATAACCGCCAAAGTTCACACCCACACGACCATCTTTGAATGTTATGAACTGCAAAAAAGATATATAGGTAATGTAACATTAAATAATTTTCAGATATATAATTTATAGGCATGTTTGCTACCAATATAGTTAAATATAATTTGAAATATAATATTATTCAATGCGAACATTTATATATGATTTATTACTTTATGACGGCTTTGATATAGGCATATAGCTGTAAACATCAATTTGCTTACGAATTTATCACATCATATGGTAAAAACGACGAAAACTAATCAGTACGTCTCATTATCAATGCGAATCGAATGTTTTTTAAATTATCCAATTTTTTTTTTTTTTTTGTAATAATAATTTACAAATTTATAAGATCGTTTGGAATTTTTCAAATTGGTTGGACAAAAATGTCGAGGACATTCGTTTGAACAATATACGTGAATTTACAAGAAAATTCATAAAAAAATTTACACAAAATGTGTACACATCATGAAAATCTCTATGAAATATCCGATAATTTGATGTACACATGTCTAAACATTTTTGACCCCAAATGACACTTTTTTATTTATTTTTATTGAGAGTCTATAACCGCTGGAACCCTGTCTTCCCAAAAAATTAATCAGTTCTTCATCTTGTCAATACAAGTAAAATGTTTTTTGAATTATTAAAATCGGACGCTCCGTTCTCTTAAAAGCTGAGTTACCGTTTTTGGCACTTTTATACCGTATCTTTGGAACGGCTAGACCTGCTTTGCCAAAAACTAATCAGCACGTCTCCTTATCAATACAAATCAAATGTTTTTTTAATTATTCAAATCGGTTGATCGGTGTTCCCGAAATCGTCGACGAAAATTTGTATCCGCACACACACACTCACACACACGCATACATACACACATACATCCATTTTCTCTAAGATATGCCAAAATATTCAGAAACTTTTGAAACGTAAAGATATATACAAATTTTCAATTTCGATTATTTTGCAATTACTATAACTTACCCTATGAGAAGTTAATAATACAAAAGTTTATGCAATCGTACGCTTGTAATATTATAATTAACATATGAATCGTAATTAAAGTGCATATTAGACGAAGTAGCAATTATAAAGCGATTATAATCTTATTTAATAATACGTAAACACAATTAAGATGCTCTTTAATTTATTGTGCTTTAACGTGGAAAATTTCAAAGATCCAACACCACAAACTGGAAAGATTTGCAAGTTAGAAATAATTTAATTTTTACAAATATCTAAAATGTTTAGTGAACATTAATAAAAGACAAAGACAAAATAAAGAGAATGAGTTTTAATATTTCTTAAAAACTCCGAAATTAAAAAAAAAATAAAAATTTTATTGCATCTTGATAATAATTTTGAATCCAGCATTGCACAATTTAATACAATAAATTATTCAAAGCAATCTTGTTAAAAATCAATGTTAAAAAATCTCATGGATCAAAACGATTGGATCAAAAATAAAATTAGCTTGGGCAAATTCACTTAAGTTTCAATTTTAAGATTTATTATTTTTGCAATATTTGTACATATCCGACATACAATTCGACTTTTCAAAATAGTTTTTTATGATAAATTTCATAATACGTTATAATATATAATAGTGCAAAAAATACACGAAAAAAATACAAAAAATATAAGAAATAATTCAACTTGACATTGACCAGAAGAAATAAAATAAAATTATTCAATTTTATTTAAACCGGTATAACAATAATTTGTTTATATCAAAATCGTGTTAGAGATAAAAAACTATTTCTGGAGATCATAAAGAAATTCGTGACTAGTTTATTAGATTTAGAATAGATTTGAATTCACTTCCACCTACGTGTTTTTCTTATATATACTAAATTATATGTGTTTATATGTACTATTGTATATATATATATATATATATATATATATATATATATATTTATACGCATGTGTTACAATTGCATTTGCATTTATCGGCCTTGATCGAATAACACTATAAAAAGGCAAAGTAAAGAGAAAATATATCTTTATATTTATTAAGAATGTGAACGTCTTGAGTTTGTTGAAATTATGCAAAAAATGTTAATTGCGAACAAACGCCCGAATTAGAATTACATAAATAAATTTTAATTATATAGACATTCAGTATTTCATGAGCTTAAAGTTTTACAAAGAAAATTATATTTTTATATTATAAATTGTAACTATAATAGGTAAAAATTTTTTACCTATCACTCATTTTAGTTAATGATTTATCCAAAATTTGATCGTACTATATATTTCTTTTACTTTTTACTAAAAACTAAAAGAAATATATAGTACGATCAAATTTTGTATTAAATAATTTTGGATAAATCATTAACTAAAATGAGTGAATCGCATTCAAAACATTAAAAATATTACTTGCGTTGGTGGGTTTTAATATATAATTTATACTTGTTTCTTTGTTAACATATAATATGTTATCGTATTAAATCAAATTAACCAACGGAGCTTTTATAAAAATATATTTTGTTCTAGGTCATCAGCATATTATTTTTATAAAAACTAAAGTCGTCAAGCATGCAAAATAAACCCATTTGGAAATTCCAATACGAAATATCTGAAACCCGTTTCGTAAACTCGATAACATTATTTAGTATTAAAATTGCTATCTTAATTTTAAACCCTTAGAAGTGTAATATATTGTACATAATCAAAATTCTGAATTTTTATGGTAATAATAAAAAAAAATACGTTAAAGGGCTACGTTGCTAGGAGCAAAAAATAATTGAAGTTCGCAATTTTAACATTTTCCAACAGAATATTAGTTCTGAATGAATCTTTGATCTTTGATCGATCAAATAGGTTTTCCAATAAAAATTAACCACTTATCAAGCCGCTCATTAAATTTATATGTTTATGACCAAGATTGTTTAAGAGTTTTTATTGCAATAAAGTTTCTGTATTTTACGGCATCATAGATCAAAGAAATAAAAAGATTCACATCAATATTTAATTATACCATAAACGATTTATTTTACACAATTATTTTTATACACTAATAACAGCAAATTAATGGCAATAAAGTGAATGAAGATTACCTGTGGCCTTGCCAACACCATCGACGCCAAACCAACCGTGATGAACGCCTTGATAAACATCCTGAAAATCGAGTTAAAAACGTATGAATATCGACAACTCATGATGTATTTAAATTACTAAAAAATTAGATGTAATTCTCAAGACATTACCCAAAAATTTTAATATTTTCTCAACCAACCAAAATTTATTGTTTTAATTAAAAGAATATTATTATTTACTATCAAAACCATGTCATCATCAAATTTTTGCTATGATGCCTTCTCATACGGTCGCAATATATCTTTATTATAGTTTGAGGTTTTGAGGTTTTTGAACCTTCATTATGAATTAGTTTTGTAATTGAATTGTTGCTAAATATTACTGCTTCGTCATGAAGCGATGAAACTTTCTATTCTCTGTAGTAAGGAAATACGTTTTATAATGGCAGGTGATTAAAGATAAGGTCATTTTTGACATAACACTTCGAAATATTGAGAACAAAGTAAGTATGCATGCAACATGTTTAGTCATAGCTTATAAAAAAAATAAAATAAAATTGAATTTTATCATATTTATCAAAAAATAACAACTTTGCCAAAATTTTACCCTATATGGGAGGAACTGAGTTTTAAAGTACTTTGACAATATCTCATATTGTTGAACTAAACTCAAAATATATTTTTGAATACTCTTTTTAACATCACTTTTTTATCTTTTTATAAACAAAATAAGGCTTTTTCGTTTTTCTTGAATAGCAATAGAACTTATTGTGGTGTTTATTACTAAATTTTTTAAATTAGTGATGAGATATAATTTTAGCAATGCTCTTTGAGACTATTTGAACTTGAAACTTGAAATCACAATTTAGATCTATAATTTCAAGTAAAAATTAATATGACTACTGCGTGGAACTTGAAACTTTATGATTGAAAAACCAAACTCTTAATACGAAACCACAGCGAGCTTAAAATTTTACAAAAAAATAAAATTTGCGTTTTCAAAGTGCAACCAACAGTTTAGTGGGGTGCATGGCATCGTACCTTTAGAGCAAATTGCTGGAACTTTTCGTACCGTAATTAAAAATCTTGGTACGGAACCCAAAAAAAATTATACAAAATGCGTACACATCATTAAAATCTCCATAAACTATTTGATAATTTGATGTACATCAAATGTACATCAATATGTCCAATGAACATATTTGACCGCCAAATTACATTTTTCTAATTTATTTTTATTTAGAGTCCATAACCGCTAGATCTGCCTCCCCAAAAATTTATTCAGGACTTCATTTTGTCAATACAAGTAAAAGGTTTTTTGAATGATTGAAATCGAACGCTCCGTTCTCTTAAAAACTGAGTTACCGTTTTTGGCACGTTTTGCCCCATATCTTCAGAACGGCTAAACCCGCCTTCGCCAAAAACTAATCAGGCTGGCCCAGCAATTTCGAAGATTCAGAGCTAAATGTGCAAAAAACGGCAGTTTTTGAGAGAACTAAACGTCCGATTTTAATGATTCAAAGAACTTTCTGCTTGTTTTCACATAATAATTGCTTTTGGACAATTTTTTTGACAGTGTTACAATATTTATAATATCTTATTTGAAAACATTTAATATTTCTCGAACATTTTGTTACGGTACGGGAAGTTCTAGCAATTTGCCTTAAGGCACGATGCCATACACACTAGTTTTTTATTTAAAATTTTTATAAATGCAGCATATTTTTTTAAATTCAAATTAAAAATATATCTCATAAATAATCTATTTATAAATACCGAGACATCATTCATTTACATTTACAGTAGAGTGCATTTGAAAGTAAACATACTCGTATCACAGCTAATTTGTTGCATTATGCAATATGACGATATGTGGTTGCACTAGTCATATCAGAAATTCCCATCAAAAATTCATTTTTATACTCATTTTGAAATGATAAAAATATTTAATAGACATATTGACACCTTTGATTTAAAATAAACATAACAGTAATTATCGAGAACGAATCGAAATTGTTAACGGAAACTGATATTGAAAAATATTTATTCAACATATTATGAAAATACAATTTTAAAAAAATCAATTTAATTACTATTTTTTGTAGTGTTTTATATATCATTCTCCCCGTAACTAATAAAATGTTTTTCTCATGTATTTTAAAACCTGACTATTTCATTGAAAAAAATAAAAAAAAGATTTATTTATAGATGTCTATAAATATTATTTTTTATTTCTATGATAATATTGATTATTTTAGTCAATGGATGAGATATTTAATCATGTTTAAAAACCAGGAAATAAAAATTGGTTAATTAGAAGCAATTATCCCAGCAAAATACAAAAATAGAAACTCCATGCCACAGCTTATTTTAAAGATGATTTAATATGATGATGACTTTAAATATATTTTTTAATTCTATGATAGTATTGATTATTTTAATCAATGGATGAGATATTCAGTTATCTTTAAAAATCAGGAAATAAAAATTGGTTAATTAGAAGCAATTATCCCAGCAAAATACAAAAATAGAAACTCCATGCCACAGCTTATTTTAAAGATGATTTAATATGATGATGACTTTAAATATATTTTTTAATTCTATGATAATATTGATTATTTTAATCAATGGGTGAGATATTTAATAATCTTTAAAAATCAGGAAATAAAAATTGGTTAATTAGAAGCAATTATCCTAACAAAATACAAAATTAGAGACCACATGCCACATAGCTAATTTTAAAGATGCTTTGTTTGTTCAGGTAGTTACCACACTTATATCAAGTAATATATTTTCCGTTATAAAATTTAAAATTTATTATTATTTATTTTATTCCTAAATGAATTTAAACAAAAAAAAATATTTATAAGCAATGTGTTATAATAATTTGAAAGCTCATTTAATATTTTGATTAATAATTATGATTAATAGAACTTTAGTTGATGACCAAGTAGTTTACACGTATTAAAAATTTCTCAAATAAAATAGATTAAAGTGAAAAATTTCAAAATGATGCTATACTAAATTAAAGTGTTAATTTAAATTTAGCCACAACAGAAAATAGTTTATAACTGTTTTTGAAAAAATGTTAGAATTAAAAATGTTAAATAAAATTGACTGATCAAAATATAGCTGCCTATCATTGATAAAAAAAAATCTAACCTGATAAGAAGTCTTTGTTCTTCGTGAATCCGATTAAGTCTGCCTGGGTAAATAAATAATCACTGAATCTTTATTATTTGCACTCTTTTGTTACCGAAACAGAATCGCTACTGAGGTAAACGCAAATAACAAGTCTTCACGATCGTGGTAGACCACAAGAATTTTGGTGGGAGGTGGTAGATATCTTAGAATTAAGAATCAGAAACAACAATCGTCAGAAGTTGACGTCGAACAGACGCAGAAGTTGCAAATAGGTGTCTCCTGAGAACACCATAAAATACCGGTTGTCATTGCCTGGTTTTTTTGATCTGGAAAATAACTGGTTTGTTTTTATCTAATGGCTCTAAGCAAATTCTGAAAAATATATATATGATATGCAATTCATCGACAAATTTATGATTCACAACTCATCTTAATGCATAATATCACAATTTTGATATATGTACATATTAGAATTGATCACTACGTCAATGTGTGTTATTCGGTAGATATAAGTTGCTTTTAAAGACGCAAAAATTTAAAAAAATCTATTTCAATATATAAAAGACTTTGTATTTTTGCCTTTGCTATAGCTTCTTCACAACATTCTTATTTTTATACCATATTCGATTCCATATCTGATTATTATCTACTATTACAAGAAGATTTGTCAAGTAAATCATTATTTCGTTTTTTATTTTGATTTTGATTTAGTTTTTTAGTTCTAATTTTTGGCGAATTTTTAGTAATTTAACACTTTCGGCACGGCACCGATTTCAAAACAATCTACTTTACCGGCTGTAAACATGATTTCATTGTGTATGTTATGCAATTTGTTTGATAAAAATTGTGGTCATTGGAGGACATACATTTATAATATTAATTTACTTTTGATCATTTTATAAAGAATGGTGACGTTCAAAAAAATTTCCATTATGCATAGCCGTTCGCCTGCTTCCTCCTGGTGCTTTTCTGTCAGAACAGACAATACAATCCCTTTTTCTTTCACTCGCATTTAGAATATGCCACTGGTCATTTTTTTGCTGCCATAATGGTTTATTTTTTCTATATATTGTCTAATAATTCATTTGTAAAATAATCTATTCGATGTTTTATATTGCTTGGTATTTGTAGTCGGGGTGTTTGTCGATGTATGTCAAACTCAATTATTGAAGGAGAATCGGCACATTCGCTAATGTCTTCCCGCTCTTCATTTATTCGATAAAACTTTTTCTTCGTTTTGTTGGTTGGATAATATCATCATCACATTCATCACTATCATCGGTGCGAATGGTAATTTCGTAAAATTTGTCTGTATGAATGTCTATTTGAAACCCATCTTTACTACTGCTTAATTCACAAAAATTTACCGGTCGTTTTGCCATATTTAAAAGCGCTCGGTCGTTTTAAATATTAAAAAAAAACATATAGCAAAGAAAAAGGCTAAAAATACTACTAAAATAACTTTAAATTATTTTCAAAATACAATACTGTTTATCACTGCTATATGTAATTTATTCAACTTTTCGATGCAAACTGAATCATTGTTTATAAAATAGCATGTGCCTCACAGAGTATGTTTGTCCACTGAGGTGGACAGCCGTCCCCAAAGTGTTAATATAAAATATTAGTTCTATGATAGAACTTCTATCATTTCTATTATATTCATTCTCATATAAAATATTAGTTCTATCAGAGAAGCGTTTTGTCTATAAAACCACAAAAGTCAAATAATATTTCAATATTTAAACCAACTTTTTATAAATAATTATTTAATTTGATTGAATAAAACAAACTTGTTGGAAAAACTAATAGTTTTTTAAATTATTCTTTCATTTTTAAGCTTGTTACAAATAATTTACTATAATTTTTTTATGGTTTTCATGTGGATATACAAAAATTTACCAAAATGTTATTAACTTCCTGAAGCGCAACTTTATGTTTTCGCCAAAAAATTCGAATTGCCAATTTTATGTTTTGCTGAAAGTATGAGTCTTTCTGAATCGTTTGAAACCAAAATTTGAATGTCCAATGTGTGTGTATGTGAGCCAAAATTAATCCTTTTGTTCACTTTATTTTGAAAACTGCTGAACCGAATTAAAAAATTTAAAAGCTTCTGTTAAAATTTGTGTTTATTATATAAGTCTTTAGAACTAGCCGAGAAGAGTAATATTTTTCGACGACTACAATTTTGCCAATCATAATTGGAAAAATATCAATTGAAGATCGAGCTGATTTTTCAAGTATCAGCAAATTACGTTTCTAGAAATTAAATGTTTTATGTTTTTAACGTTTTTTTTGGCAAGTTCTACATGACATATGCGTTAAGGCAAAATGCCACTAATTTTATTTTATTAGTTGAATTGAAATTGAAATATTACAAATAACTTAGATTTAGATTTCAAATAGGTGGCTGAACAAAGTTCAGCAACAAAGTATCGGCTGTTTCTTGCGAACTTTACTACATTAATCTTTAGCTGCAATATCAAATGTAATCAAATCACATTAATCTTTAATTTCTAAATTAAGAAATTAATTCGATCGAAAGAATAACAAGAAATATAAAAAGAAATTAAGTTATATACTGTTGTGCGTTAGCGAATAGTTTAAATATAATCTATGTCGTAATAAAATGCGCGTTTTGGGAAAGAATTGCCTCTAAGATAAGACGTTACCGAAATGCGCGATTGAATGAACTATGGATAAACCTGATGTTTTAAAAATAAAAAATAACATAAAAACAGTAAATATCAAATGTTCATGAATAGAAAAGCAAATCAGTAATATTTACAAAGCACAATTTGAAACGAAGTCAAAGTATTTGAACTTTTGATGATTCAGATACAATATGCACATATGATGCACATGTATTCAACTAAGTGAATCAAAACAATCTGATTATTACATAACAAAATAATATCAGTTAATATTAAATGTAGTTCGTTCGATAATCATATCAATCGAATGAAGACAGCCATGAAGATTTTACATGTTAAAAATTTCAAAACGCGCTTTAAGACACTTCAATATCATTATCGAATTTAATGAGTAAATTTTGATTCATTACATTTATGAATTAATCTCCAACATTTTGAAAAGTATATCGTGAATGAATAAGTGCATAAATAAAAATTTCCTAAAAACAAGTTTCGAAAATAACTTGTACTTATTCCTTATATTCCTGACATTAATCAAGTCGGACAATATAGTATAGTTCAGTGAAATTTGTACTTTAATTTTTTTTATTTTAATATAATTATAATAAAATATTATTTCATATCAAATAAGCTACTTAAGAAAAAACGCAAAAAATACATATTATTTGAATTTTTCTAAAATAAGTTATATATGAATAGATTTAGAATCACTGTGTTTCATATTTTATTAGGCCGCAAAGTTATCAGAGGTCAAGGCAAATAAAAAATTAGCAATTTTGTTATAAAATCTAATTAATCTATTTTAGGAAATCGACTGTCGATCCTTTCCTAAATTGGGTGCGTAGTGTTTGGTTTGAATCAGTAAGTGAACAACATAGATCATCAAAATGTGGTCTAAATTATTTTTAATTGCCGGTTTGATTTGCTTATCACAAGGGAAGCCAAAAGTAAGTGTATATTAAGTATCGAATTTTAATATTTAATAAATTATATAGTTGTTAATCCAGTTTAAAAAATATAGCTAAAGCATATTATAATTATTTTTTATTAATATAATTGAATGTATATGAAATTAATATTGAAATCTACTATGTCAAACTGTTCCATTCCGATAATAAAATTGATTAATGAAATTATAGCCATACTTCGGTGGGGGATGTGCAACCAGTTGTGGGTCATCATGCCCTAGCCCTTGTGGAAGTTTGCCAATTATTGGCCTGGTTTTGGAACATCGAATTTAGCAACAACAAATTTAGGTAGTTCCGGAGCTTTAACCCAATTCCTTCTTATACTTCCAATTTAATGACCTTTGGGGGATTGCCTCTGAATGGGCTTCAAACAGGAAATTACGCTAATTTACCAACTAACAACTTACTGCAAAATGCGTACACGACCGGAACTACAGGGCACGCTTTCAATCTGCCGACCGTCCAATACAGTAGTAACTCACTGCAGCCACAACACTTAACCGGCGGTCTTTCAGGATATTCAAACTTGCCCGCACAGTATGACAACAGTTTATTGCAGTCAACATTTACTCCACAAACCACTAGTCAAACTTTAACTCTTCCAACTTTTTCGACGGGAAGTGCATCTAATATCTTAAGTACAGGTCACACGTACGCTCCAAATTATCAAACTGTTGCTCAACCGAGTACATATCCAGCGGTGGACCATAGTCAATTAGGATTCAGTAGTCAGAGTTCGCAATTGGCATCGCTCACTCAACAAGTTTTGCCTAGTCAAGTGGTGTCAACTTTACCAAGCCATACTCAAACAGTGTGGCCCACAGCTTCGCAAACCCTCACATACGATGTTTCCCAGCTCGGAACCAATTATTCTCCAAATACGCTGTCGGGAACTTCGATTGATTCATCCGTCTTGCAATCCCTTACGCAACAAGTACCTGCATCATACGCGCCAAGTTATGATTGGTCAACTTCCTTGGTTTCATCCAATATCCCAAAGACCATTCCAGTAAATTACAATCAATTCACAAGGCCGCAAAATGTTGGATCGACATCGAATGTAGT